GGTCACTGTCACAGCCTGTTCTCAATTTCAGTGTATTTTGTTATATTTTACTTGCTTGTTTGTTTTGTTGTTTAGCTTCCTGTTAAAGGTGAGATCATATGGTATTTGTCTTTCACCGCCTGGCTTATTTCACTCAGCATAATGCTTTCCAGTTTCATCCAGGCTGTTGCAAAGGGTAGGAGCTCCTTCTTTCTTTCTGCTGCATAGAATTCCATTGTGTAAATATAGCATAGTTTTTGGATCCATTCATTTACTGATGGGCACCTAGGTTGCTTCCAACACTTGGCCATTGTAAATTGTGCTGCTGTGAATTTAGGGTGTGTAGGTTCTTTTGGATTGGTGTTTCAGGATTCTTAGGGTATAATCCTTGCAGTGGAATTGCTGGGTCAAAAGGCAGATCCATTTTTAGTTTTCTTAGAAAATTCCATACTGTTTTCCATAGTGGTTGTACCCAATTTGTACTTCTTAATCCCCTTCTTCTTCACCCATTCGCCCACACTCCCCTCCCATCTGCAAACCATCAAAAATGCCCTTTATATCCATGATTCTGTTTCTGTTGTTCTTGTTTGTTTAGCTTTTTTTTAAAAAGATTCAATTGTTGATAGATATCTATTATTGCCATTTTATTGTTCATAGTTTTGATCTTCTTTTTCTTAAATAAGTTCCTTTAACATTTGTATAATAATGACCTGGTGATGATAAATTCCTTTAGTTTTTTCTTGTCTTGGAAGTTTTACCAGCCCTTTGATTCTAAATGATAGCTTTGCTGCGTGGAGCAATCTAGGCAGGAGGTCCCTGCTTTTCCTGACTTTGAATATTTCTTGCCAATTCCTTGTAGCCTGCGAAGTTTCTTTTGAGAAATCAGCTGACAGTCTAATGGGAACTCCCCTATAAATAACTAACTGCTTTTCTCTTGCTGCTTTTAAGATTCTCTCTTTGTCTTTAAACTTTGGCATTTTAATTATGATGTGTTTTAGTGTGAGCCTCTTTGTATGCATCTTGCTTGGGACTCTTTGTGCTTCTTGGACTTGCATGTATACTTCCCTCACAAAATTATCAATTTTTTTCACTATTTTTTACAATAAGTGTCCAATTTCTTGCTCTTTCTCTTCTTCTTCTGGTACCCCTATGACGAGAATGTTGGAATGTTTAAAGTTGTCCCAGAGGCTCCTTAGGATGCTATCCTCATTTTTTTTTTATTCTTTTTTCTTCATGGTTGTTTTTTGCTTCCTTATGTTTCAAACCAGCCATTCATATAGAAAAGGCCCTGTTAACAGTTTGGGTAGGCCCACAAGTTGGTAGGACAGAGGCTCAGGGTATATTCAAGGTGGGGCAAACAGTGTTAGCCAGGGTGATGGAGACTCAGATGTGGCATCTGCCTGCCAGCTCTGTGGCTTTGTGAGGGGAAGGTTCAGAAAAGGGATGATGACCTCTTCCTGCCTTTCTCTCTGGGAGAAAGCTGTCTTGTAGCTAGATGCTACAGTTACTCTTGATGCTAGATGCTTCAGTTACTCCCTGTTTGCCATTGGTGCCTTTCAAGCTGCTACTCTGGTGCTGGAGCTCAGAGAGCGTGAGTCTGAGTAGGTCTGTGTGTGGGTTCTTTAAGGGAAACTGCTTGGAACTTCAGAAGTTTCTTCCATCAACTCATTTCCTGCTGATTTTGCAGCCAGAAGTTATGGGGACTTACCTTCCTGGCTCTGGAACCATGGCTGGGGAGCCTGGTAGGGGGCTGGGGCTCCTTGTTCCTGAGATATCCCTCCTGAATTTTTATCCACCATGCGCGGATGTGGGACCAGCCTGTTCTGTATCTCCACTCTTCCTACCAGTCTGGATAGATTGGTTTCTTTAATTCTGTAGTTGTCAGACTTCTATTTAACTGGATTTCTGATGATTCTGAGTGATGGTTTTTCTGTAGTTTAGTTGTAATTTTGATGTGACTGTGCAAGGAGGTAAGTCTTATTTACCTATGCCTCCATCTTGACCAGAACTCTATTGGAAATTTCTTGGTGTGTTTTTTTAAAAATATTTTATTTATTTATTTTCAAAGAGAGGGGAAGGGAAGGAGAAAGAGAGGGAGAGAAACATCAATGTGTGGTTGCCTCTCATGTGTCCCCCAATGGGAACTGGCCTGCATGTGCCCTGACTGAGAATCGAACCTCGATCGCATGGTTCATAGGCCCGTGCTCAATTAACTGAGCTACACCAGCCAGGGCTCTTGGTGTGTTTTAAAGAAACACAGGAAACTGGCACAGTTGCGTGAAAGGGAGTTTGGTGGTAGAATGAGGCAGTGATGAGAAAAGTGGGTTCCTAAAGGCTGTAGCAGTGAATTGGAATTGCCTGTCTATGTAATTGGAAACTATTGGAGAATACTAACAATGGTAGTTATGTGCAACTCAAAGTATCTTAATGGGTACAGAAGTAGGGTAACTTGGACCTGAAGTTACAATCTGTAAGAACCAGGGTACTCTCTGATGGCAAGTCTGCCTTTAAGCCTTTGAATGGTTATTACACCCATTTAGTCTCCAAGGAATTCATTAGATCAATTAAATGTTGCTGCATTTTTATAGTTTTGAGGAACAAAAATTCATTGTAACTATATACTCATGTATGGATATAATATGATATTGAGGAAATAACTGATTTTCCTGTTGTACAAAAATTTAAACATTATTTAAAATCATAAAAAACTATTGTATTTATTTGAGCACAAACTTTTGCAGCCTCTGTTGAAATGACATCATGTGTTTTCTCTCCTTTGATCTATTAATACAGAGAATTATGTGAACAGATTTCCTGTTACTGAATCATCCTTATATTTCTGGAATAAACCCAACTTGGCCATGGTATGTTATTTGTTTAATATAATGCTGGATTCAATTTGCTAATATTTTATTTTCATTTTTACATTAGTATTCATCAAAGAAATAAGATTATAGCTTTCTATTCTGTTGCTCTCTTGTTCTGGCTTTAGTATTAGTGTCTTTGTAAAAGGAATTGGGATGTTTTTCTTCTGTCTCTGAGATTGTTTAAGTAGTGTCAAACTTTCTTTCCTTGGAAAGTTTTAGAAAAATCAGTTTGTTTAAAAGATTTTATTTATTTATCTTTAGAGGGGAAGGAGAGAGGGAGAGAAATATCAATGTACGGTTGCCTCTCATGGGTCCCCTGCTAGGAACTTGGCCCGCAACCCAGGCATGTGCCCTGACTGGGAATCGAACCATGATCCTCTGGTTCATGTGAGGCCCACTCTCAATCCACTGAGCTACACCAGCCAGGGCGCAAGGTTAATTACCTGGCCAAGGTAATTAACATTGATTGAGCTTGTACTGTATGCCAAAACACAAAGTCTTAACTGCATTTGCTTAGTTAATTCCCCAAAAATAAAATGATTGGGAACATGAGGACTTCTCCAGGAAGATGAAGTATGAGCCTCCTTTCAAAGACAGAATGCCTTCCATCTTTACTTCCTCTCAAACTCTCTAAAAAAAATCAGTTTTTATAGTTAACACAATCTACTCACCTTAAAAAAATAATTTTTTTTCATATGACTTTCTGTTTTTGTCCATATGCCTGAATAATTGTTAAACGGATGTAGTTATACCATTTGTTATATATAATTTACATTCTAATTTTTCCTTTAAACTTATTTCAAATGCTATTCTACAAGCTATAGGCTTTATAATTTCCATTGATAAATACTATTCCATTCTGTGGATGGACCATAGTTTAATAATTTCCTATCCTTGCATAATTAGGATGTTTCCTATTGCTATTTCTGTAAAATAATGCTTCAAAAAGGCATTTTGCATAAGTTGTATTCTCATTTTAGATATTTTTGCTTTAGTGCAAAGTCCCAGGCATAGTATGCTAGAAAACTTTCTATGACTTTTGAGACATGTGGGCAAATTATTTTCCAAAATGTTTGTACCAATTTATCAGGTCTTCAGAATCTGTGCATGTTATTTGCATAACATTTTTGTCAGTATTGAGTGTTATTTATGTATATATTTTCTGTCATTAGGTATGAAATAGCACCATAAACATCTAGTTTGGAGTATCAGAGGTGGGGCAATGAGGAGAGAATTTTCCATTAAGTGCTGATTATCTTATTCATTCTGGAGTTGATTTAATTGCTGTTGTTTCTCAGGTGTAGTAAGTGTTAGTCCTGAGGTCTCTCTGGGACCCTGGCCCCAGCTCTTGGATGCATTGCACTAACTGAAGTCAAAGCTCAGAACTCAGACTTTGTCGTGCTTTGGTTTTTCTTATTTTAGGTTATTGATGAGAGAGAGAGAGAGAAACTTGTTATTCCATTTCCACTTATTAATGCATTTATTGGTTGGTTCTTGAATGTACCCTGACCAGGGATTGAACCCACAACCTTGGCATACTGGGATGACACTCTAACCAACTGAGCTACCTGGCCAAGGTAATTAACATTGATTGAGCTCGTACTGTATGCCAAAACACAAAGTCTTAACTGCATTTGCTTAGTTAATTCCCCAAAAATAAAATGATTGGGAACATGAGGACTTCTCCAGGAAGATGAAGTATGAGCCTCCTTTCAAAGACAGAATGCCTTCCATCTTTACTTCCTCTCAAACTCTCTAATTTGGTGACTATGAACACTGATCACTATCTTCTGAGTAGGCTGTTAGCTGGCTTAGGGAGGGGAGAAAATATCTTGGCTCTTTGGCACTGAACTGATGGTTCTTACCCAGTTAAGCTAGAAAAAAACAAAACACCACTTGCCACCTCAGCGGAAAAAGACCTCTTATTTTTGTGAAATCAAAGTACTTTGTAACCATGACGAATTTCCAGTGTCAGTAAACTGTCCCCAGGGAGAGGTCTGATTACTATCAGCACCTCACGTAGGACAACCACGCTTGCTTTTCCTCCAGCGGCAGTCGTCACACCGGTGACGTCTCCAGCAGGGAAGCTGATCTCACCCACCTGTCAGGGGTGCACAGAAGGATTAACTGGAGAGCCGAGGCCAGCTGACAGAATTTCTATGGTTTTTAAGTTTAGTTGAATTAACTGAGCCCAGGCAATTCAGGAAAATAAAATCTCCTGTTTTCATGGTGATGAAAGGATACAGATGATGGGGTCTAGAAACCAGACTTCTGCTCTTGAGTGAGTAATGAGACTGGGGGGCAGGGAGAAGAGGCGTGTTTTTAGATTAAAATTCATCTCGAGTAATATGCTACAGCCTGGTGCTTTCCTGAAGTTGAAGCCCATCGGACTTGCTATTTTTTGCCTTTTCCATAAATTAATATCAATCATTACTCAATAAACATATTGAACATCTAGGATATTCTTAGTTGTATTTTTGGTCCTGAGAATACTAATATAAATAATGTTTTGTCTCTACTTTCAGGTTAATTATATTAATGAATGGGGGGACTGAAGAGGAGAAGGCACATAGACATGAGAGTGATCGATGTTGGGTCAAGGTACTATGGGAACCCTGAGGAGATAAATACTTTGGTTCAAAGAAGCTGAGTGCTAAGCTTTAGGCCTCTTACTTGACTTCTTGCCTTTTTCTCTACTACACATCTTTCCTAGGAGATCTTGTTCAACCCAAACCTTTCCATCACCCCTGTGTGCAGATGACTCAGTTGTCTTCTTCATTGCTCTGACCATTCTCTGGACTGCATACCCACATGTCTACTTGAGAGTAGGTTTCTCTTCTCAAATTTCTGGCAAATATTTCAAAACCAACACAAAGTGAACTCACATGCCTGCAAACCTATTTCCACAGATTCTCCTCCCAAGCCAGACACTTGGGCCATCTGAGGTGCCTCCCCTCCTTCATCTTTCACAATTGGATCCTGGTGCGTTAACTTCCCAAATAGATTTTGATTGTGCTCTCTTTCATCCACACCTATATTGTCTTAGTCCACACTCTTGGGATTTCTCCCCTCATTACCTCAATGGTCTTATGTCTGATAGGAGTCTCCTTTTTCCAGCCTCACCCTCCGTCCCCAAATACACACACCACTTCAATTATCTGAGTTAGAAGGATCTACTGTATTGGCAACTCCTGTGCGATTGTATCAATACTCTGTACTTTAGTACAAGGATCATACAAAATCCTCCAGTGTCTCCCCAGCAGAACCTGGCCCTTGCTTGCCTCTGGATTTGCCCTCCATCACCAGTCACTCATCCCCATGCCCAAATGATTTTTCACTCCCTGACCCTTCTGAGTTCCCTTTCACTTCTGAGTGTTTCATGCTCTTTCCTCTACCAAGAATATCCTTTTCCTTTCTCTTCACATGTTTAGTCCTAAGTCCTTGATGTGCTCAGAGGACAACTCATCCCAACAGACCTTCTCTCCCTCCTCCAGGTTGGGTTTAGTGTCTCTCCTAACTTAGAGCCTAGCCCTTGTCACTGTTGAAATTATTATCTTAGTTTTTAGTCTGTTTCTCTAGACTAATGCAAGAACTATTAATATGCTTTTCATCTCTATCCCCAATACCTAAAATGGTGCTCAATAGGTAACTGCAGGATAAATGTTGTTGAAGAGGCAACTGAAACTCCAAAATTAAAAAAATATAGTCAAGCATTCAGGGCCAAGTAAATGACATTCTAATAGATCTCACAGAACTGATAGCAGAACCATTGCTAGCAAACGCTTAGAAGCATGGAGGATGACAGGAGAGTCAAGAGATCAGCAAATGTTGCTTACATCAAAAAACAAAGCAAGAGGTGAATTTTAAAGATTAAATAGGTAAGATTGATAGGTGTACATTAATTTAGGAAGGCAATGGTTGTACACCATGAGCTCACAAAAATGTCATGCCAAACTCAAAAATTTGAGAGGTCTATGAAGCTACTAGATAAGGATATAAAACATATTGATTTCAGAAAAGTACCTAAAATGTCTTGTTTTCCCTTTTTGGGGGGAAGATGGAGGAGAGACCCAACATAGTGGTCATCACTGATGCTATTTTAGGAGCTCTGTTCACGGCCCCATTTGCTCTTCCCAGCTTCTTCCCTTCTTGCAATGAAACTATTTAGGAAGATGGGGCTGCAGACCTGTACTTTAAAAAAATTATTATTGTTCATATACAGTTGTCTCCATTTTCACCCCTCATGTCCCCTACCTCTCCCATCCCTGCCTCCCATCCTTCAACCTACCCCTTTGGCTTTGTCTATGTCCTTTACATATGTTTTTGTTGGCCCCTCCCCTTTTTTCCCTCATTATCCCCCTTCCCCCTCTCCTCTGGTTACATCAGTTTGTTCTTTATTTCAATGTCTCTGGTTATATTTTTCTTGCTTGTTTCTTTTTTTTTTTTATTAGGTTCCACTTATAGGTAAAATCATATGGTATTTGTCTTTCACCACCTGGCTTGTTTCACTTATCATAATGCTTTCCAGTTCTATTCATGTTGTCATGAAAGGTAGGAGTTCCTTGTTTCTTTCTGCTGCATTGTATTCCTTTGTGCAAATGTATCACAGTTTATTGATCCACTCATTTACTGATGGGCACTTAGGTTGCTTCTAGCACTTGGCTACTGTAAATTGTGCTGCAATGAACATTGGGGTGCATAGGTTCTTTTGGTGTTTCAGGATTCTTAGGGTATAATCCCAGCAGTGGTATTGCTGGGTCAAAAGACAGTTTCATTTTCAGTTTTCTGAGGAGATTCCATACTGTTTTCTACAGTGGCTGCACCAGTTTGCATTCTCACCAACATTGTACTAGGGTTCTCTTTTCTCCACAACCTTTCCAGGACTTGTTGTTTGTTTGTTTATTTTTTTTACAATGGCCATTCTGACTGGTGTGAAGTGGTATCTCATTGTGGTTTTAATTTTCATCTTTCTGATGGCTAGTGATGCTGAGCATCCTTTCATATATCTCTGGGACCTGTGTATGTTCTCCTTGGAGAAGTGTCTGTTCAGGCCCTTTGCCCATTTTCTAATTGGGTTGTTTGTCTTCCTGGAGTGGAGTCATGTGAATTCTTTATATATTTTGGAGATCAAACCCTTGTCCAAGGCATCATTGACAAATATATTTTTCCATATAGTTGGCTCCCTTTTCATTTTACTGCTGTTTTATTTAGCTGTGCAGAAGCTTTTTATTTTGATGAGATCCCATTTGTTTATTTTTTCCTTTATGTCCCTTGCTCTAGAGGATAATTGAAAATATTGTTCTCTGGAATATCTGAGATTTTCCTGTCTATGTTCTCCTCTAGGACTTTTATGGTGTCATGACTTATATCTTTTAAGTATTTTATCCACTTTGAATTTATTTTTGTGTATGGTGTAAGTCAGTGATGGAGTTTCATTTTTTGCATGTGGCTGTCCATATCTCCCAACACCATTTGTTGAAGAGGCTATTTTTACCCCATTTTATGCTTCTGCCTCCTTGTCAAAAAATTAATTGACCATAGAGATGGGTTTATTTCTGGGCTCTCTATTCTGTTCCATTGGTCTACATGTCTGTTCTTATGCCAGTACCATAATGTTTTGACTACAGAGGCCTTGTAATATAGCTTGATATCAGGTATTGTGATCCCTTCTACTTTGTTCTTTCTCAAAATTGCTGTGGCTATCTCTTGTCATTTATGGTTGCATATAAATTTTTGAAATGTTTGCTCTATATCTGTGAAATATGTCATTGGTATTTTAATAGGTATTGCATTGAATTTATAAATTGCCTGGGGTAATATGGGCATGTTGATGATGTTAATTCTTCCAATCATGAACATGGTACATACTTCCATTTATTTGTGTTTTCCTTAATTTCTTTCTTCTGCGTTGTGTGGTTTTCTGAGTACAGGTCTTTTACGTCCTTGGAAAAGCTTATTCCTAGGTACTTTATTTTTCTTGTTGCTATAGCAAATGGGATTTTCCCCCCCTGATTTCTGATTCTGATACTTTATTGTTGGTATATGGAAATGCCTTCGATTTCTGAATATTGAGTTTGAATCCTGCTGTTTTGCCAAATTCACTCGTATTGACCAGTATGTTTAATAATAATTGAATAAAAGATAAAACACTCTGCTTTGGACTCAAAGAAGGCACCACATTTGTGCACATTTGCTCGTTCCATTTTTCCTTCCTTGACATTTTGATGCCATGATGAGCTTCTTGGTTGTAGCTCTGGGTAGGATGAAGGGAAAGCTTATGAAAACTTCTTTCTCCCTCTCTCCTTTTTATTGGAAAATATGTAGAATTTTTAGCAAAGAAATATAGTACATGGCTACAAAGTAAAATACTATACTAAGAGTTATGATACAAAGTGGTGTTTCTTGCTCTCTTGCAGAAACCATTTTCAACACTTTTGAGCAGTTTCTTTTATAATAAACTTCTTATAATTGACTTCTCCATTTCCAAGCCTTATAATATGCCTATACTTCTGCTTCTAGATTTACAAATTTAGGACATTCTACATTGACTTTGAATTATGGAAGATGAGGGGCAGGTGTAAGCTGGCATGGTGGTATAAGAGAGCACACATATCACCAGCCCTTTTTCCTGTCCTTGTCCTTCAAATAAGTTACCCAGTACCCTTCTGCTCCAGTTGGGGCCATCCATATGGCTATTATTTCGGGATTCTTTTTGTCACTGTCATGTTGGATCCATGATTCCTGAATTTAATATTTTTGTTTCCCTTTGCTTACTTCCTTGTTTACATTGTTTGGTAGCTCATGCAGGTCTGAATATTTCTTTATTCTGTCCTCCTGCTTGATTGAAAGTTGTTTGGGTATAGAATTTCCTAAGATTAAAACAATTTGAATTAGAATTTTGAAGGCATTGTTCCATATTCTTGTTGAAGCTGTGGTGGATGCAGGACAACCTCATCCTCAGCCTCAGTTAGGTCAGGGTTGTAGGACTGAGTTATGGCTAGTGGTTGTGGCTGGAAGTGATGCACCCACTTCAGACCTCCACAGTCCCCCAGGCTCTCCCTTACCCTTCCATGGATGTCTTAATAGGCCATATTTTGAATAAGGTGGCTCCACAAGATGGATCCTTGTCCCTTAAAGATTGCAGAGACTGTCTCTCTGCTTCTGCTGACTGTAATTTTATTGTGTTAACTCATTGAGATTTAGTAGCTGCTGTTAGCTGACCCTGATTAATGAGCAATTCCTATGTCATTCTGATTCTAGTTCCTTTTTATGTGACTTGTTTTCCATGTGACCTAGCTTTCTCTTTGGAAGATGGTTGGAAAGAACACAGCAAGGATATGGCATTTGAGCACATTTCTGAAGGAGGAGTAAGTGTCTGCTGAGCAGAAGGAGCATTGTAAGGTAAGGTATGATGGTACAATAAAGTCTGTTTGAAGAACAGTGAAAAACCTGCACAGGAAGTCATTCATTCATTCACTCACTCATTCAGTATTTATTCACTGTCTATTACCTGAAAGATACAATATGAGGGGATAGAAAATTGGCCCCTTATAGAGTAGAAATAGAAATGTAAACAAAAATTTATAAAATAATATTTAAATACTGCCAGAGAAATGTAGCATGTGACTAAAGGCATAGGATCTGGACACAGACTGCCTAATTCAAATTTTGATTCTGCCTGCTTTAGATGTGTGACCTTGGGCAAATTATTTAACTTCCATTTCTCTATAGGTAAAATGAAGGTAATGGTATTATAACAATGTTCCTGTTGCAACAGTTAAGGAGACAATGAAATGTAAAGTGCTTCATACATGTTGACCACAGAGAAAGATTTTAAAATTTTAGCCATTACTATTATTATTATTATTAAGTATGTGTAGGCATAGGCTGATGCTTGGCTGGGAAGGACCTTTTATAAGCGAGGTCAAGGTGTTTGAGCTGTGCCCTGTAGACATTAGGAGTCATTTCAACACAGAGACGAAGGAGAAAACCATTTTTAGTGTCTTGTCATTCTACTTGCCTTACAAAACCCACTTTCAAGGGAGCAGCAATTTTCCTAAACTTCTGTAAGTCCATTACATGACTACCCTCAATAGCCTGCCTGAGGCGCATTCACAAATTCTTATTTTTATTAAACTGACACTGGCTTCAGAGTTCATCATTGTTTCATCATATATCAGTTTTGATTTCCCAGGGACAATGTGAGTCAATGTGAGAAGAATTTCTTCCTTTTATAACATCTGTTAGGCTACTGAGGTTTGATTCACTGGGTCGAGACATTTGAATGTTATAGGACCACAGGCTATCAGAGCAGGAAGGAGGCTTTGGGGATGCTCTCATACCAACCTCCTCACTTTCCAGATAAAGAAACCGAGGCCCAAGGGGGGCTGGTGATAGCTTTTCCTACAGTCAGCAGTCCTCCTGACAACAATTGTTAATGTTTGGGGGTGATAAGTAATCATGACTCTTTCCTTGCTCTGAGCTGTGAACTAATAGAAAAATAAGACACAGGAATCTGACAGGAGGAGGTAAAAATACTTTTCTTTTTTTTTTTTACTGAATGAAGTTAAATTAGAGAGCACAACTTGATGTGTAGTCAAATGGCCTTTGCTCAGAATTGAACCAACATGTTTGACAGGCACTGGTGGCTGTCTGCCCTACAGGTTTGCCTTTTGCCCTTGACAGTAGAGCTAGTCTTCCACTGTAGAGGCTGTGAGTGCCTAGAACTCCCCTTCCAAGACGTGCTTGCAGTGAGGGCATGGGCATGCGGCCTGATTCTGGCCAGTGTGATGCAAGAGAAATGTGCAGGAACCTCTTGTAAGACCCTTCCTGTCTTAAATAAATGGTTGAGACAAGATAATTTCCTCTCCTTATTCTCTCTCTCTCTGCTTTGGGCAATGTTGCTGAAGGACACTAAGCTTGGAGCTGGGGCAGGTCATGAAGGGACTTATGCCAACACACTGAGAACAGCAGCCAGAAGTCTGGGAAGTACCTGAGCCCTTGGTGATACTTGCAGAGCCATACCGATGCCCATCTCTCTGACTCCGAGCTTCCTGGTACTTAAGCATAAGTACATTTATGCCTCCTTTAGTGGTTTACACTTGTTATTTGCAGCCCAAACCATCCTAACTGATAAATCTACCTGAACTCTAACCTTCCAACATGTTGACTCACCACATTATTTATCTATGTCCTGAGTCAATCAGATAAGCGTCAGGGTGGGAGTGTGGAGCAGTGTCCCATCCACACTTGTTTCTCTTGTCCGCTGCAGAAAAGTGAGAGTGGGAGACAAACACCCCTCCCCACAACCAACCCTGGTCAGAGCACTGAAAGGGAAAGATTAACCTAGTGTCTAAAAATAAAAGGATCTTGTATCTTTTTATAAGATAAACAATAAAAGGATAATTGTTTGAGTTGAGAAATTAGACTCATAACTTTATGTGATGAATGGAGTTGAATTGAGAGTGTGTGTATTCTGATAGAACTTCTAAAGCTTCATGCCTTTGGCTCAGTCTGCTGCAGGCCTCATGGGTCTTCCCAGTTCAGAAAGCAGAATGTTGGCCTCCTGGTACTTACCACAAGTTGTGCTCTTCCACTGACTGTGCAGAAAGAGGAGGCGGAGTAAACCCATTGTATATACCCCACAGCCCAGGCCTTTTGCCTGGTCTGTTTTGTGAATGGGGGTTGCAGGGTGGGGGTCATGGAAAAACAAAAGAAACTAGTACCTTCTGCTTTCTATCTCAGATGCTGACTCTTGAACCAAGCCATGATGTTGGGAGGAAGTCCAAGCAGCCTGTGGAGAGGTCTAGCTCAGTTGGTTAGAGCATTGTCCCGATATGCTAAGGTTGCTAGTTTGATCCCCAGTCAGGGCACATGTGGGAATTAATCAATGAATGCATTGGAACAACAACTCGATGTTTCTCCCTCCCCTTCTCTTTCTATAACCAGCTGACAGCCAGAATTAACTTGTGAACCTAAAGTGGACCCTCCGTGCCCCAGTTGAGTTGGTGTAGTTGATGTCACATGGGTCAGAAATGACCATCTCTCCTAATCTTTGCCTAACTTGCAGAACTGTGAGCAAAATAAATAATTGTTAAAAAAGAAAAAAGCAGAGCATCAACCACAGTGTTAGGCAGACCTGAAATAGGCATCTTTTTTCCAGAGTCCCGGACGTGAACAATGTAAAAAGGATGAACCTAGTGATTACATCTTTGAGGCACAATAATTTCATTATGAAGTTTCCTTCTTCACTTCTGACCCCGAGGGGAGAGGATTATTAAAATTATGTCATTACCCATCAGGCTGTCAGAAAAGCCCAAACTCTTTTTTTTCCAAAGAGAGCTACAGAATAAGAGAAATGATCGAAGTGAATAGCTGTCTGCTAATCAAATATAATTTCCATACTCTCCACATTTCTTTGATGAGATATTTTAAGCTGCAAAGAGGGAAAATGCTTTTTCCCCTCTCCAGGTAATTGGGGTTAGTCATGAACACAACCAGACCAATGTGCCAAGGAAGGCCAAGAAACAGACGTGCACCCTACCTGACCACTCATGTGGAGGGGTCTGTTCAAATGGGTGGGGGTGGAAACCATCAGGTTTAGTGTCCTGTGATGGAAAAGGAGACAGTGGGGAAGTGGGCACTGACCGTGCCCTCTGGACCTAATGTTTCCAAGATCATTGCTGCCTGGGTTAGTCCAAACCCCCATGTGTGGGCCCCACACTGCACAAATGTGAGGCTTGAGGCATTTCATGATCATCCCTGCACAGACCCACTGAGTTTTCATTTAGCTATGGGAAAGCAAGTCTTATTGAATTGACCATTTACTCTTCTGTGTATATTTGCCAAACTTTAATGGAGACTGACAAAGTTTTGAGTTGGAGAGTGTAGAAATAAGTGATATTTGTTGTTTTCCACCATCATTCAGTTGTTCACTCGTGTAAATGTTTGTTGCCTACCATGTGCAGGCATTGGGGAGGGATGGGTGAACTGAAGAACACAGCGCAGCTCCTTGGAGCTAACATGTGGTGGCAGCTGGAGACAAGTGAACTGTTGATGACGATGCCACGTGGAAGGAGCTCTGATAGGGAGGCATGAGGATGATGAAAGCACATGTCTTGGGCACCCACCTCAGACTTTGAGGATCAGAGAAGACTTCTTGGAGGATGCGGTAGCTAAGCCAAGTCCTCAAAGATGTGTAGGGGTGAAGAAAATGTAGCCGTTGGGGAGAGGAACAGGCAAGTGTGAAGACCTGATGGGAGAGAGAATGTTGCTTGGCTCAACCTAGAAGTTCTGAGCTTAGAGTGAGAATGGGGAGGTGGCAGGGGAGAGGCAGGGCTAAGGAAAGGGCTTTGTTAAGGCGTTTCTATTTTATCCTGAGTGCATGGGGAGCAGTGAGGGGTTTCAACTAGAATATACAAGTCATGATTAGACTGGCATTTAGAAAGGAACTTTTAGCCTCAGCGAACAGAGAGAAAGGAGTCAGAGGCATCAGGGAAACGGTCTTCAGAGGTTCTGAATTAGGAAACTGAGTCACAGTGTGTTTGGGAGCTAGAACTGACAGAATTGTATGTAGCAGGGCAGTGGGACAGAGAAGCACCTAGAATGCATCTCAGGGGTTTCGTTTAGAGATGGAGAAGGCCAGGTGGAGGGGGTGGAAAAGAGCCTGGAGAGAAAGATAGTGAACTTTGGTTGGGACATAATAAGGTTGGGTTATTTCTGAGGCACACAAATGACAGGGTCATGTAGATAGGGAGGAAATCCATTAGATGTTCATATAGTAACATTCAGATTGTTCCAGTTCTACATCCTGGGTCTGCTTTACTTCTCTCCATGGATTGTTAACTCAGAATCACGATTTTGAGACTTTTACTTTACTCAGCTCTGAAGTCTCAAACTATATCTCTAATCCTTGGCTAGCATTTTGCAAAGGTGGGTCAGCAGTTTCAGGAGATGCTGGTTCCAAGAGATACCCAGGCCCCAGGGGCCATGGCTGCACAGAGAAAGGGGTCTTAGATCAGCCTATCCTTTATCATGAAGTTTCTCCATCCCTTTGATTGTATTAGCTTCCCTTCTCTGGACCTGATTGCTACCAGGCTTCATTGTTCGCTAAACATCAAGGGCATCAGTACTTTGGAGAAATTTCTTCTCGTAATTTGTTTTGGTGCAAGCCCTTCAGTGCCATGAGGTAAGAAGCTGTGATCCAGTCAGGCAAACTGCACCTTCCCGAAGACTGAGACTCTTGGATACCGTGATTAGGCTCAGCAGCTCAGAAATTTGGTTCTGGATTAATAAGGAGTTTGACAAATTCCCCCCCGAAAAGTCTTTTATGTACTCTTGGCTGCTTGAAGCTTTGAAACTTAACATGCATCAGCCACACAGGATCAGCTGGCCTAGCAAATCAGAGATCTCTAATGTTGATCTAATGATCTCTTCCCTGTAGCCAGGGGTGTTCAATCCATGGCCCATGGGCCACATGGGTTTCAGAATGGCTATGAATGCAGCCCAACACAGAATCGTTGACTTAATTAAAACATTATGAGATTTTGTTGTGATTTCATGTTGGAATGTATTTAATGAGTGGCCCAAGACATCTCTTATTTTTCCAGTGTGGCTCACAGACACCAAAAGCTTGGACGCCCCTGCAGGCTGAGGTTTCTCACTGCAAGAGCAAAAGAAGTGGCTGTAGCAGCCAAAGACAGTAAAACATCAGTCAGTCAGGGCTGAATTTGAATCCACCTCCATCACTGATTAGTCAGTTTGTTTAAATTCTTGGGTCTTGTTTTCCTCATCCTGAAGGGAAGGTAATCACACTTCATAGGATGTTGTTGTGAGGATCAATAGGCATTCCACGTGACAAAGGGCTAGAAGGAGTTCAAATAATTACTCCTTTTCACCAGACTGCACTGTCTAACAGGGGGGCCCCCTCCTGCCGCTCTTGAGCACTTGAAGTTTGGCTGGTTCGAGCCGGGGTGTGTTGTCAGTTACAAGTTATCAATGCAGATCAGACCCAAAGACTTAGTGCAAGAAAAGACTGTAAAAAGAGTGTCAAATATTTTTATTAAAAGTGTTTGAAATTCATTAGTTGTTGAAGTGTAGACATTTTCATAATATATGGTTAAATGTAATCTATTTTATTTCTAGCAATGGTCACACTGTGATTAATTAAAATTAATCTCCTGTGTTTTCTTCTAGTTTCTATTTGTTTAATCCTCACCTGATGATATGTTTATTGAATTGAGAGAGAGAGACAGAGAGGGGAAGGGGGGAATGAAAGAGAGAGAGAGAGAGAGAGAGGCTTCGATCAGTTGCCTCTTGTATGTGCCCCAGTGGGGGATTGAACCTGCAACCTAGGAATATGCCCTGACTGGGAACTGGGAGTCGAACCCACAGCCTTTTGGTGTAGGTGATGACACTCCAACCAACTGAGCCACCTGGCCAGGGTTCCTTCTACTTTCCTCATGTGGCTACTAGGAAATTGAAGATTGCTTATGTGGCTTGAATTTCATTTTGACTGGACACCTCTGTTTTGGAAATAGGCCTTACCTGGAAGGGCTTCAAGATCTGAGGTGGCAAGCAAAGTACTCACCAGAATCACCACAGCCACTTCCCCAGCTGGCGTCTTCGCTCCAGTCTATCTCCTTCCTATGCCCACGAGGTCATTCTAACCACAAACTTTGCTCCTACCGGATGTTAGAACAAAGATCGGATCCTTCACAGTGCCTATCGCACAGCCCGTCTGCTGCAACCGTTCCCATCCCTGTCTCTCTCCTTGAACACACTCTGTGTGCAACCATGATGACTTCTTGTGGCTTCTCAAACTCACCACATCCTCTTCCATGTCTTTATTCATTCAACAAACAGTCTTTGGTAATTAGCTGTGAGCCAGGCAGTATTCTATGCACTGGGGAGTCAGGGCTGCACAAGACTGAGATTCTGCTCTGAATTCCAGTGGCAGAGTCAATGTGTGGATTCCTTTGTCTGGAATGAATTCTCTCCCAACTCACAGAAGTCAGGTCTCTCGGAAGTTTCTCCTAACAACACCCCATCGTCTAAGCTCTCAGGGCATCCGGCCTCCATTTTATCATAGCATTTGTGCATCTAATGTTATTCTTATTCTTATTTATTTATTTTTAAGCTTCTAGCTGTTTTAATTTAGTTTCTTTTTTTAAGATTATATTTATTTATCTTTAGAGGGGAAGGGAAGGAGAGAGGGAGAGAAATATCAATGTATGGTTGCCTCTCGTGTGTCTCCCACTGGGAACTGGCCTGCAACCCAGGCATGTGCCCTGACTAGGAACTGAACCGCAATCCTTTGGTTCACAGGCCCATGCTCGATCCACTGAGCTACACTAGCCAGGGCTAATTTAGTTTCTTAACAGCAATGCTTAAAAAACTTATTTATCTTGTTTTTCTTAATATATCATAATTATTTATTATCATTTAAAAATTGAGCTATAATTGACATACCATATTGCATTAGTTTTAGGTGTACAACACAATGATTTGTTATATGTATGCACTGTAAAATGATTACCAAATTAAATCTAATTAATGTCCATCACCATGCATAGTTACAAGCTTGTTATCCTTGTGTTGAGAATTTTAAGATCTATTCTCTTGGCAGCTTTCCAAGACACACTAGGCAGTGTTAACCGTAGTCACCATGCTAAAGGTCACAACCTCTGGACTT